TTGTGCTTTAACATGTTTTTTTATATCCGAAGTATACTTGATACTGAGTATATCTTCAACAGGAATAATGATGACTTCTTCATCAGCCGACATATTTTCTTCTTTTGATGTGCTAACAGGACCCAATTGTTCACGTTTCTTTTTATCAGTGAAATATGTTGTCTGCCCATAACCGATTGCAGTTTTTCGAACTGATTCCTTATATGTATGAATCGAAAGTACTGGACATGTATAGGTTTTATTCGATGTTTGAACGCCTGAAAGACAAAATTCGAAAAATATGCTCCGAAATGCTCCAATATATATTTTTACTCGATATGCTCCAAAATGTTTCTGCGAGTGTGGAGGTTTTATCTCTAGGTGAGGTATTCAACAAGCCCGTTTCGTGCTGTTGTATCACGCATCTGAGTGTGCCTTTACAATGGGATATCTGTTCAAATATAGTTTTAGGAAAAGGCCTTCACGTCTCAACCTTTAAAAAGCTTGCCTTTTACCGTGATATCTATGCAAACATACATCTAAATTATTCTATTGTATATCAGTACTCCAACTTTAATAAAAAGTCTCTGTACTAGAAGATCTTCTAACGAGAATTTCTGTTCGTTTCGACTTACTTAGCTATTTACAATAAGTTAAAATGGTGGGAGAGTTATCAACAACTATTTTTAGAAATCGTGACTTACAAAGATAGAAATTTCACACTTACCAGGATAGATGAAAACATAACCAAACGGTATTTCTTTTTCTTTAACATTTTCTGTTTGTACAACAGCTACTTGAGCTTTGACAGCTTTCTTCTTACATAGGCTACAACAACCATTACCCATTTCTGTTTCGTTTTTACAGCAGAAGAATTCCTTCTAAAAGTTAACAAACCCTATACGTTTCGATAGAGTTGGATCTCAACAGTCTTTTCTGTTATGAACTTACTATGCGTAATATTTTGCTAACGGAGTTATATAGAAGCAGACAGAGTGAAACTTTCTTCAATGTAATGCAACGGTTCTCTTTATTTCTCGTTTTCTTTTCGAATCGTTTTTTCCCGTGTCAAGAAAAGGAACTTTAACGCTTCAACTAGAGAATCAGAAAAACTCACAATTTTTATTCTATCCTGCTTTATTTAAAATACATTAATGCTCTTATAAGGCCTTTTAATACACCAGAAATGTATACAATAAAATAAAATAAATATGTAATGATTAGAAAGATACAATACGTAGAAATTGAACTTAATACACCGAGAATAATATTGATAGTTGGTGTTATTATATAATTTTTTTCTTTTTCTTATTTGCATATCTGATTCTTCGGCTCTAAGAGACTTAAACTCTCTTGAGCAGAAATGAATTTGAAGACAAAGTAAAAAACTAAAAAATCGTTGAGAATATTGTTTGTGTTCCAGTTGTGTAAAAAAAAAAGAAGTTCTATTTACAAAGTTGTTGGAAGAAAAGAAAAGATACCACTTTTGCTTTTGTTTTACCTTCATCAGGGTAAGAACCAGAGTATGTTTAAACACTTGACTAATGTATATTTTAAAGCACAAAGTATTCATTCGAATCTGAATGAATAAAAAAATAATTTTATGATTCAATTCGAAACAGTACCACGACATTTTTCTCATACGAAGGAACGTCGGTATTTTCCAACTGCAGTTATTATGACGCAATCCTCTAAATGTTTGTATTCCTACTATTAATAGTTCAAATGAGAATGTTAGAAATTAGCTAATGTTAGAAAGTAAAAGCATCTAGGTGATTGCGACTAATTTTTGTTCATGTCACATGAATGCATAAACATTGCTAATACCACTAGAGTTGCATGATTAGCATTCTTGATCCTTTAGTTCTTGAAGGGTCGCTGACCTCAAAAGAGCGAACACTGTGCTCCAACCACTAATTCAGTTCATGAAGCTCATTTTAAATGAAAAGAGTGATTTATTACTAGTCATAGACCTTGAATTCAGAAAGATCAATACTTGTTACATAATTTGTACATATTTTTCTCTATAGAAAAGGCAACGAATCGCCGTTCGTATGGCTATAAAATCCAAAAAGATCTTTATCTCTGCAAGACAGTTTGACTGAGTCTTCATTTATGTCAACCCTTTAGCTTGTTTGTCAGTTTGCATAGTTAAGTTTGGTGACGAAAATAGTGCAAGAAGCGGAGTCGTTCTTTGCAGCAACAGACACAACTACGACGTAGCATGCAGATCGATGATACTCAGCCCTTCTCTCTTGCCACATTGCTGTGTACTTCCGAAATGCTTCGTGTTCTCGAGCTCATATACCAACTCATATACCGAGAGCGGGTAATAGTAAAACATGAAGACACCCACAGACATATACACGTACAGCCAAATAACAGACACTCAAAAAGTGAGCCAGCACAGACTCCCACTGAATTACGCAGACAGCCGAATCAATCTACACACACCCATAGATGCACACAGACAGTCATCTGAAACCTGTAGGGTAATAGTAAAATATGAAGACACCCACAGACAGCACACAAACACCCACAGGCAGCACACAGACACGCAGCAAATTACACAAACAGGCAAATCAACCTACAGAGAGCATCCACAAACACCTAGATCCTTAGAGAATCATATCTGTCCTTCACATTTATTGTATTTATCTTTAGCAAGCAAATAGATGCTGTAATTATTGGCAAAAATTTGTTAATGCTCTCTTTTGCCCCACTGATGGGTTGCTTTTGTGGAATCCATGTTTTTCGTGAGCACTGACTTTGTGCTGATTTTCCTATTAGTGGACACATGGAAAATACTTCTACTGCCGAGATCAAGTGGTGATCCTCGTTTGCGTCGGATACTAACGCTACCAGAATTTTTATTGGCATGGTCAAAATATACAACCATTTTTTGCGAAGTGTATGAATAAAGGAGACAGGAATTAAACAAATATCAGACTCAAATCATTACTATGGCGCAAAGTTTTCCAGTTTTCCGTTTACTGCGACCGGCAATTCAGTCGCAGCTCCACAGTCGTTGTCATTAACAACGACAACAACCAACAACCGTACTCCATTTTTTAATTTTCGTCGTACAACAGCTGATTCACGTGGAAGAACGCGTGTTTATTTTGGTAATCACGAATTGTGCAATGATTACATTGATGTTAACGGAAATCGATGTAAACGTGAACCTTGTAATTTCTTGCATGCATGTCTACTGTGTCATTCAACTGCACATAGTCGTGTTGATTGTTTACAGAGCGCAGTCAACAACACCTCGCCTGCTCGCCCTACAGTACCATCTGCTTCTCAAGCTCTTGCTAACAATAACACTAAGAAATCCTAGACTATCAAAAGAATATATTTGGTATTATTAGTGCGGACTCGTTTTGGTGCTTTATTTTGTGTTAAAGTAACTCTTCTTCTGAATGCAACCCCCTTTATTTAGCTTCGCTTAGGCGGCTCTCTAGAATTTGTGACCTGTAGGCTATCATTTTTGTGCTTGTAGGGATGAAAGCTTCCAC